TCATTTCTGCCACAGCCACTGGATACAGTAGAGCAGGAGTTACTACATTTCCGGCGTTCTCGAATACCAATAATCTTCAACGAATGCTAAAGTGCCAAATGCTCCTCTAATTATTCGTATAGCAGACTCGCGAAATGGACGAATAACTATCAAATACATAATGCTTGTAGAAACCGCGAATAACGAAACTGGAATGAATAAAATAGTCACCAGAGAAGGTCTGAAATATATGGTCGTTTTGCTGCAGCATATTCCCGAATCAAGTTTTTGAGCTACATTATTGACGTCAAGATCGAGAGCTGTGGGTCTCACGTGTCTCTCGGTTTAGTGAAGAGCAAGTCTTTTGAAGTGATTCTCCATTGGAGAAACCAACTCCTCTAGAGTCATAGACTTTGAGCTCAAGATATCAACGCCTCTCGCCTCAATGTTTCGTGTATTGAAAAAACGGCCCTTTGTATGATGTCTTGGTACAAATACCTGCACTATCAGGTTGTTTTCTTTCCAATTTTTCATTCCCATTTATCGCATAGTCCTCAGAATTGCTGGATAGTTTTCTATTGCAAGTTAAAGGCAAGCCCCGGGATAGCCCGACTAGTGGGAAGTATACCGCGAGAGGAACTTGTGGGGCCCATACCTTCATAGGTCGTTCCAGCTCCGTTGCCCGAATTGCGCGATTAGAGCGCGCACATTTTGTACGAAAAGTTTTAGTTTTTTATTAAAAATTAATTACGAACTACCATCGACCAACGCTGCGGCAGTACCTAAAAATCCGATTAGAGCATCGCGAGCGCGCTCTCTCGCGTGGTTTGTCTTCCTTGATTGCCCTGTCTCGCCATCGCACCACATGTGAGGTTACTGAAGGTTATAAGGCCTTTATTTTAGCGTTCCGATATTTTTGCTGCTCTCCATTCCACTTCCAGTTCCTTCCGTAACCCAGTCATCGCTATGAAACGCCACACACAAAAGCATCCCGGCGTTCACCTTCTAGCACGAAACTGTGTAGGAGGTTTGTAAACGTGTTAGTTACTGTTGTTCATTTTGATTTTTAATGAGTGTCAAGCGTGCGGACCCACAAACTTGAAGACGGATCCTTTTACACTGTAGGACCTAATCCAAATTCATAGAGGTCAAAGGAGAAAAGGAATGAATCACGTTACAGTACGCAGCCAATGTTGAAGCTTTCAGATCGCGCAGATAAGCGTCGAGGTACCGGGAGAGAGGTCTTTGCGGACGTTCACTGTCTCTGACTTCTGCCCAGTCGTAGTAATTCGAGTAAGTGCGGATAAACGGTGGAAGTATTAGGCGTTTCAGAAAGTTCTGTCGTTTTCCGACCCCGAATTTCAAATGCATGTATCTCGGCTTAAACTAAACCTTTCAAGTTGATTAAAAAACCATTCGAATGCGCGAACCTTTCTCTATAAGAACCGTTCTACTGGGTACGTTTGTTCAGAATGCTGGAGCTCTGGAGGCGATGAACTGAGGGAAGGTCGTTTTAGCATCATGTTGGGTTTTGATTTCTCTTCAAGGAAGCTATCGAGATCGTCAGAAATGTGACAGTAGATAGACCAAGGTCTACTAAGTAAGATGTTCGCAGAATCACTCTGAAGTTCAGCTGGTCCAACTTGTGAAGGGTTGGCGGTGCGATGTGCGTCCAGGACACCTTTCAGAGATGTGTTCACCCCTTTATAATGAGGAATGCTGAAACATGTCTTACAAGGGAAGGATACCAGGTCGAAGTGGCCATTTGTAACGAGACATACACCACTAGATGTGTTTTTGGACGCTGATCTCGAATCTGCTCTCCAAATCTGCGAAACGATTCTCTGAACGTAGTTATGAAGCGAGATAGTGCAGTGGCAGCGGCCCGAGGCCGACGAGCAAGAGGTCGTGGATCGAATTCTTGGCGAGTTCTCACATTTGCTTTCCTTGAGACATTGCTAAAGATGCTTTTATCCATATAAATTATTAGCGATTGCCTATATTACAAGTGGGAATAGCTAGCGAGGAGCATCTAACACTGTGCGCGCCATTCGCAAAAGATCGCCCCTTGTACTCGTAGCGCACGCGTCAGGCGCATTCGTGCCAAACAGAGGTGATATTCGTGTTCAGCGCGTCAAAATGCCCCTTTCCACAACTTTAAATCTTGTACCTAACTTTGCAAATGTGGGCAGTCACCGTTGGTCATTTGCACATGGCACGCACACTTGATCGAAACTCCTCGCTATCTCCTCGCACTAGTAATAAAGGCGAGTGCTGATGACTTAGCATAGATGAGGATTTCCTTAACAATGTCCTCAGGAAAAGCAAAAGTCAAAACTCGCCAAGAATTCGATCCACGACCTCTTTCCCGTCGGCCCGGGCCGCTGCCACTGCACTATCTCGCTTCATAACTACGTTCAGAGAATCGTTCCGCAGATTTGGAGAGCAGATTCGAGATCAGCGTCCAAAAACACATCTAGTGGTGTATGTCTCGTTACAAATGGCCACTTCGACCTGGTATCCTTCCCTTGTTAGAGTTTTTTGTGAATTTTGGCGTAATGCAAAGGCTGCCTTTCCACTCTAACAGTTAGAAGAAGAACCAGGCCAGCCGTTGACCTTATGAAAGTTGCCATAACCCTCCTTCAGCACAGTTTAAGTTTTGCACAGTTTGTAGAGCTTATCGCCGTCGAGCTATTCAGCAAAGCTTCGTGGACTGTAGAGAAGAATCCGCTCTTTATTGTACGTCGCAAATCTGTAGAAAACGAGTCGCTTTATCACATAAAACAAGCTACAATTTGATGGACGACCCTTCAAATTGGTGATTTGTCGCGGCACGCCCCTATCAAATTTTTTGGACTTTCCAGCTACTTCCGTATAGCTGTAGGAAAACGAGTCGCTTTCATCACATAAAACAAGCTACAATTTGATGGACGACTCTTTAGATTGGTGATTTGTCGGGGCACGCCCCTATCAAATTTTTTGGACTTTCCAGCAACTTCCGTATAGCTGTAGGAAAACGAGTCGGCTTCATTACACAAAACAAGCTACAATTTGATGGACGACTCTTTAGATTGGTGATTTGTCGCGGCACGCCCCTATAAAAT